AGGTGTCCCAGGTGAGTAATAAGTTCTTTGTAGGTTTGCATGGCGATTAAACATATAATACTATTGTTTGTGGAAACACCACGTAAATTTATTACTGCAAAGCTTTCGATCCGTAAGCCCGGATCTTCATCAGTGCTAATGATATGAAAAAAAATTGAATTGAAATTAAATCTTGTCCGTGATTAAGTACATTGGGCCATTCCATTTAATATGTGCACCCCCCCCTATTGAGGGGTCCTTAAAAGTTTTACCCCCTTAGGAAATTGAACATCAAAGTGCCGACACATTCCCCCCCTTGGAAATTGGCCTATGTTGTTCGAAGATCAAAGGGACCGACTGATTTACCCCCTCGGAAATTACCAATATTAACCCCTCCCTCCCCATAGGATTTCCAGACCCCTCAATGGGGGCGGGGGGGGGGGGTGCACATATTAAATGGAATGGCCCATTGGGTCTATAATCAATATTAAAGGCTTGCATGATTGCTGCTGAGTATGTGCCAGTTTGAAAAAGTATGTGTAGAAAATGAAATAAAAAATAAATTTTAGCAATTAAATAGAAAATTTACCTGATTAGAGGTGGAAGGGCCATAGACAACAGTTTCATGTGGATCCATATCTCCATGTTTACTTCGTAAGAAAGCATGTGTGGTTGCCATGACACCAGTCTCAGTACCCTTGTCCACTAGCAGCATGGCTGATATTATTCTCGTTTCATAGAGATATTCAAGGTACCACTTCCCAATTAATTTTGGTTCAGAATTGGATATCCAAACTCTTAACCATAACAGCTTTCTACTGGCAGTGTCAATACATCCATAGATAGCCAATGGAAAAGTGGAATTTTGATATCCCATCAGCTTATCATGACCATCAAGTGCATGCACCCAATTCGTTCCCTTTGTCGTGAAATGCCCCTTCTTTCTTTTCTTCTTGCCACCAACGCCACCTCTGATTTCAAGTCCCTCTGGGTCAAGCTCGGTCATCACATCATAGACTTTATCCCTTGTAACATTAAGACCATGTTCTATCCTGATTTTTTTGTGCATGGCCCTGTAACCTAAAAGCATACCCGGGCAGTTCAATTCAGTTTGCACCGCTTCGATTACATCCAAGACTCCAATATTTTGGTCATTATAAAACAACTCGAAATGGCGAAGACGTCTATCGAGCGACCTGAGACTCCACGTATATTGAGGAAAGTCGCGAGTAACAAAGTCTACTACCTCACTTCTTTTTAATCCTTGCTGAACATAATTTGACAAAGCTTCTTTAAGATTTTCATCATCTTTCCAAGGTGCTTCTCTGATATATATCAGAATTGCCCGCCATTTTGTCACAACAAAGGAATTTTAATGAGTCAGCTCTCGGGTCGCTGTGCATTATGGTAGTGGCAGCCCTCGGCCATGGTGAAATTCACTTTTACTTTGTAATTTTAATTGTAAATCAGTATTTTGTATTTCATTTTAATTTTATTTTTCATTTTAATTTATTTTTATTTTTCATTTTAATTTATTTTTATTTTTCATTTTAATTAAAAAAAAATTATAAAGAATATTTTGGTAGTGGCAGCCCTCGGCCATGGTGAAATTCACTTTTACTTTAATTTTAATTGTAAATTATTTTGCATTTCATTTTAATTTATTTTGTATTTTATTTTAATTTATTTTGTATTTCATTTTAATTTATTTTTATTTTTCATTTTAATTAAAAAAATAAAAAGTAAAAAAATCTTTAAAATAATGTAAAATGTACAAAAAAAACGAGTGGCAACGCTCGGCCACCATAGTCCTCGGCTATTAGCAGTAGCAGTTATGCAGTATTAATAGAAATGATAGTTTTGAATATATTAACCAATAGGAATTCGTTCTCAGGGTGTACATTTCATAATTTTATTCAAAATGTACATTTCATAATTGTGCAAACGTAAACAATTAAAACTATATACAGTCAGTGTATAACGTCAAGTAGAAATAATATTTGGTTGAGCATTGCACAAGATTTCACACACTGTCCACATTTGGTTTAAAATTCCAACCTGACTAAGTGGTATATGACTGAGTCACATATATGAAAGTTCTTTATATTGTTAATGGCTCGTTATCCTTAGCGGACATTTGACTGGACTGCCCAAGAAACGGAGGAATATTCAGTAATACACCGAGGGGTAAAACATCCTCGATTGTGAAGCCTTTGTCTGCCATAACGGAATCGGCATTTTGGAAAGGGAGTTTAAGAAATCCACTTCGAATGACGATTTCTCTGTCCGATATACTGCCAGTGTAAAATTGGCTAATGAAAGTCACTGCCCCTCCAGGACTTATACCAATCAAGCCTTTGAATGTCGTGTGATGCTTATAGTTGCTGAATAATTTGCCGTTTAAATGCAAACTGTTTGGCATTTGACATCGAACTTGCATGCAATCTATGATCACTCTGGTGGACGGATCTCGTGCATGAACAGTCTATGAACTTGTCGAGTGCTTCCCTTGAAGGCCAAATATTGAGTTGCCCAAGTTTCAAGTACATAAAATATATCCAGGAAATTAGAATACGACTAATCGTGGCTGTCGAAACACCGAACAGGTTAGCTAAATGTTCCTCATGAAAGCCTTGTCGAAGCCTGCACATAACAGCGAAAAATTCGTCAAGAGGTTTGAGATTTCTTTGTCTACCTAATTTTGGTTTATTTTCCATAGGCATAGTGGTGTTAGGCCATATAAAATAAATTCCTTGATTCTCATCACCGCCCGACGATATTTTGGTTTCCGCGTTGATATATTTTTGTATTTTGTTATAAAATATAAATTTACCGCCCGACCGAGCATCTTCAGAGATTTAGTTATTTTTATATTTTATATTGGAATTTTTGCGATATAAAATTGTTTTATCGTTAATATTGCAACATGTTAAGGGATGCTTGGAATACTGAAGGAAAAAATGGGCTTATAGCCTTATTACAACAATTTGTGTGGACCCTTATGCATGTTCATTAGCGCATGTGCAATTATCCACTTATATAGCGTTCTTCTATAATATATTTAAGGGCAAATATAAAAAGACATCCCTCTCCAATTTTTTAAATTTTAAACTTTTTTATATTTTGACATAAAATATAAAATATAAACCTCCCGCCTCCTGGGAGTTTTTAAAATTTAGCGATGAGAATCAAGGAATTTATTTTATATGGCCTTATTGTCATCACTTGTTTCACGTTGAGACAAATCAGAGCACCAGTATTTGATGTTCTCACCGTTACGACCGGGATTTAAAATAGTTAAACATAGCTATGAAAGTTCTCCAATTTGCAAAACCAGTGTAAAATCGGACAGACGAGTCGTGATCTTTAAACCGACCTGCCGTGAAAACTTTTTGCTCAAGAGACAAAATATTCAATTCCGCATTTTTTAAGTCTCGTTCGTAATCTAGCAATTGTTGTTTTAGTTTTTCTGTGTTGTCATTGCCCGCATTGGCATTGATTCGAGCGTTTTGACAAATAAAAGAACTCACAGCAGTATCAACTGATCTGATTTGATTTGACACCGTTTGTGTTTCGATCTACATTACTTAAGGGGCAATCACTAGTAATTTCGTTATTTTGCCCATCAGAAGTTGAAGTTTCTAAGTTCAAATCTCTCGAGAAATTATCATTGGGATTAGAAGTATCAATTATAGGCACGCGTACAGTAGGTGCATTGCGCTTTCTTGGTGACATTCTAGTCCATTCAAATTGCGAAGGAATAGCGTTCGGGCGCAATTTTCTCCTGCCATTCAGTGTTTTCTGAAAGTCGTAATCTCTAAAATGTCTTGAGCAGACTTTAGTCCACTTTGTTATTGTGAAATATTTTCCTTCGTCACGTCTAATTGCATGATCATGAATCCACTTTCGCTTCATGATCGTCGAGTTATCAGGGAATTTATAATAAGATATTTTTGACCCGTTCTCATCTCTGGAACCTTTTTTAGTGCATTTAGGGACGCAACAATTTGTATACATTTCTGATGGGCTGAATACAGTTCACAATATGACCTTTTAAAGGTTTTTATCGCCAAATTTAGAACGTTTACTGCTCACTACATATAATGTGGAAGAAACCGCACGCGCGAGGCCCAACTAGCCTCATTCTCATGCACCTCATTAATATGCCACCCTAATTTCCGCCTTTGTGAAAAGGGTGTATTACTAACGTTACAGTTAAGCAAGTCCATCATACAAAGTCACTAATTGGTGTACATATCGATGAGAACTTGTCTTGGAATGTTCACATTAGAAATGTATGTAAAAAAGTCGCTTCCGACGTAGGTAGATTAAAGCGTATAAGATCATTCGCCTCTCCTTCCGCAATGCAACTTTTTTTCAGTTGTTTATTCCTTCCGGATAAACTTCAAAAAATCTCAAACCTGCCGCCAGAATATTGGCGTGATCTAGTTATGATACCAATGCTGACTATCTGTTTGAAAAACTTGGTTGGAAAAACCTTCCATCTATAATGGCAGGGGCGGCGCTAACCCTCTTCGAGTGGGGTGTGAGTGATCTTTTGCCGACTGTTGTTTGGTAATTTTGCCGAGTCATTAGCCTATAGTAAATGTGTATGTTTAAGGGGCGGACCATTTGATTTTTTAGGGGGGGGATTGGAAGATTCAGACTGTGCAAGAATTTTTTTCCGCCCAGGGGAATTAAAGGGGAACTCCAGTCCCAAAACAAGTTGAGTTTAAATAAAAGATTATACCTTTAATAGATTGTTCCTGAAGTATCTCGGTCCAAATCGTTTTAGTAAAGGAGAAATCGCTCATCAAAGTTCGCGAATTTTGCAAATTTCGACGCCATGTTGTTCTTTTACGTGCAGGCGCGAATTTGGTCAGCGCCCTTATTTGTGACGTCATTGCGTGCTTCTGAAGTGTTGTTGTTCTCGCATTGCTAGTGTTTTACATTTGATTTCATCATGAATATCGATGTTTTAAGTCCATCGAGCGATAGTTCATCGGATTCAAGAACTTCAAGTTCTTCAGGTGAGAGTTTAGATGAATTTCATAGGAATATTTTACAAGGGGGCGAAGTCCTGGGCTACCAGTTTGAACCTAGACGAAATACCAACAGCGTCAGTGCTGAATTAGCTGACAATGAAGACGACCAAAGTATGTCGATTGACGAGGAAGAATCGTTCGTTCGTTTGGGTAATCTTGACTGGTAAAACATCATAATTTGTGGTTTATATTGACGAATTGAATTTTCGTGTTCTTGAATTATGTCATTCCCAGCATAAGTATTTGTTATTGTTAGGTGTTTATGTGAACATTGTCAGATAATGGATAGAGAGGAAGAATGCGTCTGTTGTCATGAAATTGAACAGGTCGCTAATAAAAATCAAGAAGTTATGGAATACACAAAGCCAACCCTGCCATATAATTGCATAACAGATAATCCAGGTTTCCATACAGTCTGTTTAGATAGATGGGTTTTGCAGGCTGCTTGGTTGGACTATAAACAGCAGTATGGAAGTACAGCATATGAAGGTCCTGAGCACAAAATCTCTCGCCATGTCGCATACCGCCAGCTAGTGCGATGGTGTTGGGGAGTAGTTGGGAAAGAAATACGAGTTGTTCTTCCATCTTGTGCTGTTAGTTGCATTCGAGCCCACTTTCCACCTCCAGGTGATGAAGATGACTTTGAGTTTGTTGGATTTCGCTTTGCTGATGAATAACTTGATTGTTCTGTGTTAAAAAATGTGAGGTATTTGACATATTTATCAACTTTAATACATAAACTCCCAGTTCATATATTCAAAATGTCTGTCACTTCTGTTTATTACTGAGCCGCTTCTCAATGACATCCTGTTTTGGTGGCTTAGGAGTTGGTGCAATACATTTTGCTTGAATTTTTGGCTTGTATTTGAATTTTTTGCCTTTCTTACACAAGATTACATCATTCATCATGCCCTCAACATAGCTGTAGGATTTTGGGGTCTTAATCTCCTTGGCCACCCAGTTCTTTCTCTGCTTGCCACAAACAATCTTGAACCTTTTCTCGCCTTGCTTTGATCCTTTCTTCACTTCTGCCTGGGCTCTGTTCACATTGGCATTGTGGTCCAAGACGGCTAGCTGAGTTCGAGCCACCATTCCATTATAACAAAAGTGCTCACGTTTAGGTGCATATTTTGTCATAAGGGAATGGTATGACTCTAACTCACCAGTGTGGTGGAATTCTGTTAGCTTTGCCAGATCTTTCAGCAGCTTTTTGTTTGTGATGACTTCCTCCAAAGCAACATGAGCAGGGGAACCATTTTCAACCCATACAATCTCTTTTTGGTCTTTTCTACTTATTCTAGGGTGGCCACATTTTTTTACTAATGTAAATTCCTTGGAGGCCCTCCAACAGTGTTTACCAGTGATGTGATGCAACAAGGACAACCACTTCTCCCTTAGGACATCTGCATTCTGCTCGCATGTTACAGAGCACCACCATAAATGGTTGGAAACACTCTGGATCCATGGCAGTAACTCTTGACAATCTTTCTTTTTTGCCTTCTTTGACAGCTTTTTGGTCACCCACTTGCTAAGATGCCACACATCATACTGGTGAACAATGTTGGAGTAGTTTGTCCTCATCTTCGCTGTGATTGTTGTGTGACGATCTGTTGTAAGACATCGGATTGGAATCTTCTTCTTGATAATTGAATTTAGTGTTCTCTTACAGCCTTCATATTCCATTGCATTAGACGATGTTACCTCTGTTACTTGAACAAGGCTAAATTCAATTATCAAGTTTGTTTTCTCATCCATCAGGGTATATGTGCCATATTTAGCGGAATGCCCACGACTATCGCACCGCCCGTCACCACCAGGCCTTAAAATATCGGTCGGTCACGGACATTGTCCGACCCATTCGTGAAATTGTCCGACGTAGAAAAGAAACCACCGGACATTCTGTCCGACCTAAGTGAAACTGAGGTTTATTGTTTGTCCGACCCGAGTGTATTGG